TGTTGTGGGGTTGCCGCATGGCAAACGTAGTAATGCGGGGTGGTCCTGTACAGATCAATTGCCTATCCAGACCAAGCTAGATGTGTTGGTCAAATACCAACTCCTGTATGAAAAGCACATCTTCTAGCTGATAGGCTACCTGGAAAACCTCATTTGTCTGTCATGTTTCTAAACAGTATTTCTTCTCTTGCAAAACGAAGCATATGCTCATAGCAGTCCAAGTGCGCCTGAGCTACCTGCAAATACTGGGAGACTTGAAGATGTACAATGGGAAGATCTTTAATGCCACCCTGATGGTACGAGTGTGTTTAATTATGCAACTGGGCTTTGGCATACTGTCTTATTGCCTTGCTTTGTGCATCTCTTACTGTACTTGGACAATAACTGCAAAAATTTCACCATTTCACCACAGTGTAAGATCATGTCTTAACCAAAGCAAACCCTATCTAAGGAAGAAATGTTTCAATATTTTTCTTAATCGATTGTTGATGTGAGACTAGCAACGTCTTACTGAGTCTCCTTCCCTGTCTTTGCTCTGATCGTTGTAGAAAATGTAACATTAGCTCTAGTGATGCTGTTTCAGCTAGTCACACTACTTTTCCCTGTCCTGGGACTTCATTATAAGTATTGGTAAGGGATGCTGCTAGGATAACCCACCATAATCCCATTGAAGTGAATAACACACCAGCCTACACAATAATTCTGCTATTTTTTCAAATCGAAAGCTGTGACTCTTGCTCTTCAGATGACCTCTGTCTATATTTTGTATATTGTAAAGTACTTAAGAGATCTGGGGATGTTTCAAAAACTCTTGAAGAGATATTGGCCATACTTAAACCTTACTGTACAAAAGAACACTGCTCTTTTCACAACCCCCCAAGAGTTTCTTGGGTTTTTTTTTTTTGTCTGTCCTCACTTCGATCTGTACTGAACTATAGACAACAAGCTGTTTTGTATAGTGAGCTGAGCAGTGTAGTCTGCATCAGAGGAAGACCTTACTGATGGGTTACAGTAATGCAGAGGTTCACAGTTGTGTGCAAATTGAAATAGTTTTGCAAAATTATTTGGGTCTTAATTTATTTGTAAGTGTCTATTCTAACAGAAAGTGTTAGGAAGAACTTTGGAAAGTTCTTCCAAAACCAGAATGCCTTCCTGAAGTTTCTAGCCAACTCCAATAGGTCTCACTCAGTCCATCTGGCACAGCCTGCCAGGTGATACTTCTGATAGCAATCTGCTGCTGATCTGACCTCTTTGCATCTGCTAGATGGCTGGTGCTTCTCTGGGGCCATCTGCCTTGGGGGTACAGGGAAACTGGTGGTCCCCAAGGCAGAGAAGAGAACAGAACAGCTGGGAGCAGGTGACACCTGACAGCCTGTAAGTAACAAGGGGCTCCCTCTGCAGCTGGTTACAACACAGCTGTAAAAACAGTCCAGTGTTAAGATACTACACAAGATCAGATGGCTGAGGAGTCTCTGCCCAGCACAGACAATTTGGTTCATGCTCAGATTTTGGTTACAGATCTAACCTCTCCCCCTTACAGCTACAGGACAGAGAATCATACGTTGCCTTGCTGGTGGGTGCCAAGTATGGTGTGAGCCAGATTATCAATAATAAGCTCAACATCATAACAAGTCTGGCAGAGTTTGCAAACATCAGCAGAGTGGAGCTTACAGAGGAGCCTGAAAAAGTGAGCACGGTCAAAATCTATCTGCAGGATCTGAAGGTAAGTTCATGATGACTAGCATGTGGCTGTGTCAGAGCTAGAGAACAAGTGGGGAGTCATTCACACCATGTGTTCTTTTCAAAATCTGACATTCCGCTGATGGTATCATCAGTAAAAAAGGGTTAGAGCACACTCAGAAGGGAAAACTCATAGGAGGAATACAAAATTACTGAAGAAAAGTGATTCTTCCTGCTGTCCTCCATCAGTGAGACATATCAAAGAAACAAAATGCGAGAAAATCAATTCATCTTATTTCTCTGTGCCTCATGCAGAAACAGTGCTCTGGAGTGATGGTGGTATGGGGGAGGGAAAATGTCATTTCAATGTGCAGCATGTTCCTGCAGATGGCGATACAAGCAATATTTGTATATTTTAACATTTTTTACTGTTTTCTTCCCTCCATCTCCCCCTAAAAACAAACAACAAGCTGCTGACTCTGCTCCTGGAATCAAACAGTGCAAAAGATCTTGTCTGCCTCATCACTGGCTATTACAGACTGTTTGTGGATGCAAATGTCTCCATATTTACCTGGGGGGACAAAAAAAAGCAATTGCATCGTGTCTCAACTGAAGAAGGTTTTAAAAAAACAGCATTTTTTTTTGTTTGTTTGTTTGGCTTTTTTTTTTTATGGTTTTTGGGTTTTCTTTTTTTTTGGCCAAAGGATGGGTAGAAAGTGGGTGCATGCTACAGCACTGGAAGTGTTATTCGCTCCTGGGAATAGTATCATGCTAGAACAGTAGCCCACTGGCATCTGCAAGTTATTAAGACTGTCAGCCATGGTGCAGGCAGTGCCAGGTTTCCATCAACCCCAGACTGTTAGGCAGGGGGAGAGCAGCAGTAATTGGCAGCTTTTCCCAAGAAGTGAAGGCTGAGTGCCTGTTACCAGAATGGCAAACCTGACACTGAGCACTTGTGCTCTTCTGCCAGCCTCCTGAACAACTCTTATCTGCTGGCACCCCTCAGCCAGGAGAGAGAGGATCCATTTGCCATGCTGTCCTGTCCCTTGTCAGGATAATTGCAGCCTCATAAGGGTTACAGACTGAGGCTTTAGGCAACGAGTTAACAGGCTGCTGTTCTGCAGCTCCCTCTGGTACTGCTTTGCGGTAAAACGAGGCAAAGCAGGCAGGAGGGACCAAGCCTCCACTGACAGGTTATGTATAGCTCTGCAGGTCTGATTGCACCTTCATCTTGCTTGCTGATGAGCAAGTGAGGGCAGAACTCTCTGGGCTTTAAGACTCTGCTCTGCAGACAAGTTCATAACCCTTGTCTGGCTGTTCCTCCTTGCCACTGCAAGGGACAGGCTGATAGATGTGTTTAAATCCCAGGATATGAATCTCGAACCTGCAGTGACTCTGACGACTCCTGGGAGCAGGATTCTTCAGACCATTGCTTGGACACTCCTACAGCATACAGCAGTGGCCATCCTGAGTGCAACAAGGAGGAGCTCCACAGTCTGGAGAAGGACAGCACAAAGCCCCAGTCTGGAGGGAGTGACCAATATGATAGATGTGACAATACAACAGACACTGCATCTGAGGCTTCAGATTCAGCCAACACTGAGAGCCGAGGATTTAAGACAAGTGGCTCCAGTGACTCTGTGAATGCACTGGAGGAAGATGAGTTGGAAATGTGCTCTTCCTTCAGGCCGGAATTCTTCCACTTCTACACACCAACAGTTCAGGAGATGAGCCACTCAGACAAGACCTTCTTCCCCATTCCTGTCTTCCCCATTCCTGCGGCAGGAGGCTCCAGCAGGGCAGAAACTGGAGACTACTTCTGCTTCTTGCAGGTACCACATACAGAGGAGCTTGGGTGTGAAGACAGCCCCTCTGAGCAGAGAGGAGAGGACGTTGGTGCAGCTGTGGTGGAAACCAGATTGTCTGAGAAAAACACCATGGGCTATTACAACCTGTGCTACAGCGTATCCCCTGCAGGCAGTGTGGAGAGGAGCAATGTCAGTTACAGCCCTCAAAGAAGTCCTTGGAAAGATGGGTCTGCCCAGGAAGGGGCACCATGTGGAGCAGAGCTGACTGCAGAGGTGAGCGATCCCATTTTGGAGCCACCCCCAGGCTTTGGTGACACCAGCTCTGAGGAGGAGTTCTATGATGCTGCAGACAGGCTTAGCCCTCCGGATGCCTTGGCAGGTAAACCCTCACCCATATGCTGCAGGTCACCTTTCTTCCACCCCATGGGCTAGGGTGTTGCCTGTTTCCCATGTCAGTCTTCCTAGAGAGATCATCTTTCAGCTCTTCATAGATTTCCCAAGATTTTTAAAGGACCTTTGAACACCCATTCTTTATAAGCCATTCTTCAGCAGAAACACAGTGGATGTGCACACAGGATTCAGAGCTGCAACTCTGCAGGGAAACCTGTCATTGCATCCAAGCATTAGATCCCATTAGAAGTCAGTTTTCAAATGAGTTTGGCATTCTGGAAATTCCCAGGTTTATGCAGGAATTCCAGAATGCTGATGTATGGCTCTGCCCAATTCTGAAGCCAAGATGCTGCATGAATAAGTTCTGTACATACCTCAATGTAGGCTGAATCTTCAATGATTAAAAGAGTGATGAGTCCCAGAAATGTAACACAGGAAAGATGTGTGTCCTTGCACTGAGAAGGAGCTTTGTGGTAAACATTCCCACTGGCAGGCAGCACCTTCACTCTACTACCTTCCTTTAAGCTGAGGAGAGCTAAAAGCTGTAAAACATTATTGTTCCATGCACCCCCAAGATAATGATCTTTTGGAGTCAGAGGCATGTTACATAACTGGGTCAAGGAGTCCTGTGGCTGAGCAGCTCCCTGGTCATTGTATTTTCTCAGAAAGAAGAGGATTCTTGTTTCTGAAATAGTCAGCTCTTTCAACATTAACTGAACTTCTTCATTTGTTTTGTGTATTTAGTACAATTTTAGCTTTTGCATTCATGCACAGTAACAATACCATGTTCAGACACAACACTGCAATCTCTGGAAATTTTTATCATCTAAATGTCTGGGCTGGAAATTTCTGATCATGTTAATAAATCTCCAGAATTAGGCAGTACTCTCTGTAGCTACTGCTAATACCACCAAATTAAACTTGGGAATTACAGATCTACCTGCAGTCAGATCAAGTGACTCCAATAAACAAAGGGAGAGACTACCCAGCACCCTTCATCACTAATGCTGGACTTCAGTCTTTGTAGCCATAGGCACAAATTTTATTTTCCTTGACATAGCAGATTCCAAGTAGGTGCTTGATCATAACATAAGAGACAGTTTCCTCTGGCACTTGGGAGCCAGGCTTTGCAGCCAAACATTTATGTCTGCAATTGCAGAACCTGTGTTAAGAGTTTTTTGGCTCACTGCATAGATGCATGGATATTCTGCTGCCTGGGGCTACTTCCTGACTTGCACGGGTTTTTTTCTTGCCAACAGGCTACAATATGATGTCCCAGGAGGGTACAGACAACTGCTCCTGCATGCTAAAGAAACCAAGGTGTTACAGCTTGGGGGAAAGCCCAATGACAAGGCAGACAGCAAGGGAGAAACACAGAAAGGAGAAGGAGATGACATATGCTAAGAGCCTAAAGAAGAGGAGATCTTTCCTGAAAACCCATTACACCTCACAGGTCACTTTCCCCTTGACTTTACCAGGCTCTCTGCAAAGCTGCAGCTCTTGGCCACCCACACCAACACTCCTAGCTCAGCTGCCCTCTCCACCCTCCTCTGAGAACATCAGGGATGCAGAGCTGGGACTTCCTGCTGCCACCCAAGCTCAGAGAGACAGTGCTAGCCCAAATCCATCCTCTGACCTGATGGAGATGGAGCCTGATACCATGGAAACAAAATCAGTGACTGACTCAGTGGTTTCTTCCATTTCAGCTATTCACCTGCAGGGTGTTGCCATGCAGGTGGACAGTGGCCTCCAACCTACACATGCTGTACATCCACCTTTCCTGTCCCTGAAGGAAGGTGTACCCCTTCCTGGGGGCACATCTTATTTACAGTCTGTCAGGTCACCTGCTCAGGGAAGTCCTTCCATGAAGACAAATACTGGGTTGCCAAGTGAAGAGAGCTGTATGGCCACCAAAAGCTTGCTGGCCCATGTGGCATGGGAGGATATGGGTGAGGTGATGGCAGCCCAGCACAAGGCTGGCAATACACCCCCATTCCCCGGCCAAGAGGTGGCCTGCCCTGGTAACAAACACACACTGCCACCATCAGCTCATGGCCGCAGCATGTTCTCTCCCCATGAGGTGGACCTCACTGCTGGGAGAGAAGCAGCACATAAGGAGCCTGTCCCAGCTCCTTGTGAAGAAGGAAAAGCTAATTGTGACAGCTGTACTGAAAACAGCAGTGACAGTGCCTTGTTACAGGCAAAAAGCAGACCAGTGATAAACAAGGAGGCCTTACAGAAAGCGCACAATAAAAATCACATACGTTTTCCAGATGCAACCCAGCTCTTAACAGATTGCAGCAGCACTTCTGGGGTTATAACTCGCCTCTCCTGGCTCTCATGTGGGCTGAGGACAGACTTGACATCACCCAGCCCATCTCAGGAATGGGTAGGTATCCCACTAGAGCTTTTGGACTCTGAGAAAACCAGTGTGTGCCTGGGGGCTGATGCTATTGGAAAGGAGATGCAAACATCTCCAGCTGGAGCACTGTTTGAGAAAGAGTTGCTAAGCAGCCAGGAGCTGGATGAAGGAGACCCTAGAAAAGATGCAGGAAATGTGGCTGTCACACACCCACAGCCTGTTCAGACTCCTCTTCCCAGAGAACAGCCTACTGAGGTGGGAAAAGACTCTCCTAAAACTCCATCTGTAGGGCTTTCCATCTCCTCAGGCCCAATTCCCTTTGGCATGTTGGAGAAAAGAGCAGAAGATCTTGGGGCTTCAAAGCACTCCTTCCTCTGCTTTAACCACAAGGAGGATGAGCAGAGTCAGCAGAGTGCTTCTGACCCCATCACGACCAGGTCCTTCGGGTTTTCCACAATGAAGACATCTCCACCACAGCTTGGGATGGACAAGTGCAGCTGTCAGCTGTCCTATACCAGCTGCTTCCACAGGCCTGATGACATGGGAGAATATGAAACTACCATCCCCATGTGCAACACGTTTTTGGGGCCCCTCACCACCCCACCATCCAGCAGCCGCAGTCTTCCTGGGACCCCTGTGAGCAGTTACTCAGCCTCTATTGCTAGGGACATGGCATGGTGGGACCCTTACGTCCAAGCCCTCAGCAAGCTGAAGGACCAAGCACGGATGAGTCCTGCAGATTTTTCCTGCTTCCTGGCCTACACAACAGAGCTTCGGGAGGTTGTGAGGAAGCTCTCCAGGAACCAAGCAACCCATCTGCAAGGTCGATGTTCTGAGCAGGGTGCTGAGAGCAAGGGTGCCCTTGGCTTAGTCTCCCAGCATCTGCTGTCCAGTTGCCAGGAGCTCTTGAAAACAGAGCAGCCCCTCAAAGAGCTGCACAGTGTGCTGAGGGTGACATTCAACCACCTAGTTCAACTGGCAGTGGCCTGCTTCCAGGTGACGCACTGCCAGCTGTGCAGGCAGAGGCAGCAGGAGCTTGGGGCTGCACTCATGGATGTGGTGGGAACCTACCAGCAGCTTGTGCAGGCTGTTCACCAGCAGCTCTGCCAGCAAGCCTGCCCGGATGTGGGTGCCAAGCTCCTTGCCCGCCAACACACAGCCCTTACAGCTGCCATATTTTGTCTTCTGCAGCAGTTCAGGGTACCCCCGTTGTTGTGATGGGGATGTTTGGTGGCACAAGTGCACTGGGTGGGAAGAGCCCAACCTTCTGTCCAATACCAGGCCCTGTGCTACAGAATGTCTAGCCTCACAGCTCAAGAATGGTCATGGAAGCGCTTGTCCATGGTGTCAGCTTAGCTCCACCAAGCGCCACCCCTGTGCAGGGGGTGGTTGTGGAGCAGGGCATACTGCCCTCCAGCCTAGCTTTGCGCAATTCTGTGTACACAATCTCTATGTAATATGCAAACTCATAGAGTACTTCAGTGGCTTATGTATCTTGCCTGGGGCTTGTCCCTCACCTCCCAAAGGTCTTGAAGGTGGCTGGTCTCAAAGTGTTGTCTTAGCCTTCTGTCACTTGTGGAGCTGTTTAGCCTGCCTTTCTTCCCACTCCATACTCTCCAGGCAGTCTCTGAAATAGAGTGATGTCAAATCCCACCCTGGCCCAACATGAAGGAACCCAGGATGCTTTGTCCACCTTCTGTGGCTGAGGACATAATGGAAACTTCTTTGAGAACAAAGCTGTGCTATATTTAACTGCTTTTTCTTGCAAGGGCAGAAAAGAGGCTTGTTCTACGCAGTGCAGGCAACACCACATCCTGCTCTTCTGATACTGTTTCTGTGTGTCAGCTAGCTCTTCTATTTACATTTGCTGATCCTTGAGAGGGTCCCTAACAAATACCCGCCCCTTCCCTGGTCTGGGCTAGCATATGTTGCTGCATAGAAAACTCAGGGGCTAAATTGTAAAGTTAAAGGCTCTTACACTGAAGCCAAACTGCAAACCTCTAACTACACACCAACAGCTAATGAGTGGGGGGAATGTGAAGACTAAGAACTGGAAGAACACATAGGGCACAGCAGAACAACACGCACTGGCAAACACAAATTCAGCCTATATGGGGAGAAAGACCCAGTGCAACAGGCCCTACTGATACTGCCTCATTGCACTGAATTCCAGGTGTTGTAAAAGGCTCTTGATGTGAAAGAAAAATGAAAATATATATGCAAATGTGATAGCAATTTACCTCAGAAGACCTTAAAGTCCTTGCACTGGTGGTTAGAGCTAGTCACTGGCAGTGACATGGAGGTTGTTTGGTGGTTTGTTTGGGTTTTGGGGATTTTTTTAGCAATAATGACTGAGGTAACATATCAACTTAGATGCATCAAAAATGCTTTCTGCTGTGGCTGTGAAATACATCTGTTCTCTTTGTGCAGGGTAGAGTCAGATCCCAGATACCTTTCCAGGAGGAACTTCAAGGTTAGTGAACTTTGCATGTCAGTGTGTGATGATGTCCTATCAGTAACTATAAGGATGCAATGGGAGTTTAAGAGTAAACATTTTATTTTAGGTTTTTAAAGTAGATGCACAAGATTAGGTATAGGCTTCAACAACTCCCCGAGTCTTCAACTGATTTAAAGTTGTTAGGACATGGTGCACCTGGAAACTGTTTCTCCATCTGGGAATCCCATCTTGTGTACCCAATTGGAACAGCATTGTCCTTTTCCATGGGAAGAAGTCTTCCTCACCAGGGAGCTTTGCAGTTCTAACTTCACCTTTTTTAGCAAAATGCAAGAAATATCTTAAAGCACTCCTTCCTGCCCCAGGACAAGTATAGATGCAAGAGTCAGAAACACTCTAACAAGCATCTCTAAAGAAGTAGCACTGAATTCCTATTAGTTTTCACTTGATTCCAGGGCTGCATTAGCTTGCGTTTTCTATTCAAGGGGAAAAAGTAATTTTCAGCATTGTACTGCTGAGGCAGAATGTGTCACTCTTGGTAGGGTCCTTGAACAACATTTAAGCAGAGCTATCCTCTCTATGCACATTCATGCTGGTGCCTCTGCTCAAAATTTGAAGTTTGTCTCTCTTGTCTGCACAGCTCTTTAACATGACAGAATAAAGAATTTTCTTGTGCATTATCATGCTAAGGTATTTCCACTTACTTCACTGCCTCTGGTAGCACATAGCCTTTCCCAGAAGAAACTCCAGCTTTCAAGGCTGCTGGCCAGCTTCGAGTCTCATAGTAAGTTGATAAGATATCAAAGACTGTCAAGAAGAGAGAGATGTACCATGCTATGATAACATACTAGCAAGCTCGACTAATACATATCCCACTGGCTGCAAAACATGAGGAAGTTACAATAGCTGATGACAGAGAAGGTTAGCATGGGATCTGGGGGTTTGCCTTCCTCTCATTTAAAAATCTGACAAGCGAGTGTTTGAGGCAGCTTCAAAATAGCACACAACTATTTCGAAGATTACTTTTGGGAGCTCTGGATAGGCAAAGCAGAGGCTGTATCAACTAAAGCAAGGTTCCCCAGTCACCATTTGACTAACCTGTACTACCCATCTGTGCAGCTGACCACCACGGTGGATCATACCTACTGCACTTCCACCACTGTTTCTCAGATGCTGTGTTTCCAGATCTCCACAGAGTCATCTCTAGCAGCTATGCTTGGTGCTTTGCAGAGCCTTCCACCACCTCCTCTGCCTTGTGCTGATGGAGATGGCAATGATGTCCTCATGCCAGAGATAAGAATTTACTAGAGCTGGCCTAGGACACCTCTCTGCTCCATAGTCTGTAGCAGAGAGGTGTTCACATTAAAAAGCCCCAGACCACCAGTGGAGGTAGAGGAGCATGGGCACATCCACTGGTGTGACTGGGTGGCCCAACTCATAGTCACGACATGGAGCCATTACAGTGGTAGAGCATAGGAACACATCCTAGTGTTGTGAGCCTTGCCTTGGCTGAGCCTGACAGAGGCATGACAATTTCTGTTCTCCCCTGCCTGGGACCTTGTATGACTTGAAGCAACAGCAGCGTCCTCACATCTCCACCACACTAAATGTTCACTGCTTTGTGCAAAGCAAGTCCTGTGTCCCTGAGAATGTGCTGATGCAGAGAAGTACACAAGATCTTTAAAATGGGGGCAG